TCTCTCTCTCTCTCTCTCTCTCTCTCTCTCTCTCTCTCTCTCTCTCTCTCTCTCTCTCTCTCTCTCTCTCTCTCTCTCTCTCTCTGTGGACTGCACATGTACGCGGCCGGCAGCGTCGGCTACCCACTCATGTGATCTGGCTTACGAAATAGTTTTGCCACATGGTGCGCTGATCAATTGCTCATCCACTGCCGAATGGTAATTATGAGAACAGGCAGCATCAGCCCTCCGCACAGCCACACACAGTGGGGCCCCACGCATTTCAAATGCCAATTCTGAATACAGGCAGCATCAGCCCTCCACAAAGCCGCATGCAGTGGGCCTTCACTCCCCTGTTAGTCCCACGGAATCGCAGGTGCTAATGTGGATACTGCAATTTATCTGCAAACCAGGCCAGCCGCAGCAGCCAACATAAGCTTTGTCAAAGTGGCTGCAGGGGATGACGCGCTTTATCCTACCAATGTGGCTGCTGCTAAAAGTGTGTGTCCTCCTTCACCACCACCACCACCGCCACCATCACCGCCAGCTTCTCCACCTACGTCTTCTACGACATCATCCCTCCATCAACTGCCCCCTCTTCCTCCTCCTCCTCCTCCTACTACTACTACTACTACTACTACTACTACTACTACTACTACTACTACTACTACTCTTCCTCCTCACATGCCTCCCGTTCGGCATTCCTCATCATCAAGACATTCATGCTCACATCATCCGTCACAGAGGTCTCATTGGCGGAGGCATTCATGGTCAGATCGGCTGTCACAGGGGCCTCTTCGGCGGAGACGTTCCCCATCTCCACCGCCACCTCCTAGACAGTGGCCTGGTTTGGACATGAACAGCATGATCATCGCGCTCCCGTCTGACGTCTGGGATCAGAGATCCACTCTGACACGACACTTGGAACTGTAGGGAACGACGTCGTCTCTCCCAATCCACACCCAATCCACACTACAGTCTTCCCCCGAATACGACGTATGGTCATTATAGCTGAATTTGGTGCATCTTTCAGTCTAAATTCAGCTATAATGACCGTACGTTGTATGCGGGGGAAGACTGTAGCCAGGAATAGAACATACTGAGTCGAAGGCCCACAATGTGGCGATGAGTTTTACACTACTGCAGGCCTGCGTGTGCACCACACACGAGGTGCAGCCACCTGCGCACCATCTGCACATCTAGCAGCCACTTTCAGCACAAGTGGGGCTGATCAGCTTCCGACTTTTGCAACTGACCCACCCACTTCTAATTCACCTGACTCCTATTGCTCCCCTGCTCCAACTGACAATGATCCAGCCTCGGACCATTTGATGGAGCCCCCGACTGGAGATGATCTCTCTGCGGAATGCATGCTAGAGCCAGTGGAGTCAATACGACCCGAGGAATCAGACAGATGGAAGTTGTCCAGGCCTACCGTGCAATCTGCAGAATTAAATGAACCTTCCCCTGCTGTGCAATCTGCAGAATCAATAGATCTCATAGTGCTACAGCGAGGATACTGTACGCACTATGCCATTATTGTGTGTCTCCTCCCTTATACTTGTAACCCCTATAGGGTTTCTGATTTTGCAGACATTGTCTGCTGGATAGAAGAGGAGCACAGCGCTGTCTGACGAGAGGATGACAGTACTGCACTTGGAGTGAGTATAGAAGGTCCGTCTATGTCATTTATGAGACGACAACTGCTACTCCAGCCCGCTTCGCAGAATTACGTGCCAGATATGGACCTAAGTATTTGTTTGTACATCCTGCACCGTCCGGGTCATTCCAGTGCTGCTACCTTTGCGCCAAGTTTGCAGATAGTTCATGCACCCTGTTAGACAATGGCGGTAAGGTGCACAGGTGGGAAATATCAAGTCCTCCTAGCGCCAAGTGGAAGAATTCCACTCACTCTGGCTGGCCAATCAGGAATGTGGATTTGCTTCCGCAAGCTCTACAGCCTCTGGCTGAACCTCCCCACTTCCCTGAACATGGCCAGTTAATGTCCGTTCCCTGTGACGATCGGACGGTTTCTCCCATGGATAGTGAAGGGTACCCTCTGCAGGATCGTGGCTGTGTCATGCCTTTGTGTGTCCTCACAGCTTCAATTCGGTTAGCGTGTACTTGCCATAATTTTTGCTCCAAACACTATGAAAGGATGGCCACTGCCAGCCTCTGCCGTGAAAACTGCGATGCATTGTTCAACTTCTGTTGTCTAACTTGTCTTGCATTCATTCCCCCCACTATGAAGGGATGGCCACTGCCACTTGACATAATCTTTGCTCCAAACACTATGAAGGGATGGCCACTGCCAGCCTCTGCCGTGAAAACTGCGATGCATTGTTCAACTTGTGTTGTCTAACTTGTCTGTATTCATTCCCCCCACTATGAAGGGATGGCCACTGCCAGCCTCTGCCGTGAAAACTGCGGTGCGTTGTCTAACTTGTCTTGCATTCATTCCCCCCGCCCCCTTATTACTTGCCCGATATGCCATTGTGGCCTGGACATGCCATGCCTAAATGACTGCGAACGTCAGCCTGCTTTCCTGCTGGCATGTCAATGTCAGCAACGTGCCATATGGCATCCATGTTTCAAGGAAGCTGTCATTGAAAGTATGTGACTGAAGACTCTGTACTGTGTGGACTATCCCCGATGACATCACTCACCACATCCTCTCCTACTGTAGTATTTCCCACATGCAGAAATGGGAATATATTTGCTGCACCCACAGTCGCATCTCCTTCATCCTTGCCGGATGAACAACAGACGCAGGAGCCTTTAGGTGGAAAATAGACTCTCACATGAACCACCTACAGGCGCGCTGTATACTTAAAGGTTATGACCCTCTTGCAGAGTCTGCAGACCAAGTTTTGCAACAGCTAAACACCCTTACTTAACAGATCAGCGCCTGTCATCGTCGTCCCGTAAGGAGTGAATAATGGCAGTGGAAACCCAAGAAACTCGCTCAATGCCACTCTGTGATGGCCTGCGGGAGACTTGGCTAGTATGTGATTCGTGTGCTTCTTCTCTTGTGGATTATGAAAGTATAGCATGCTTCTTCTCTTGAGGGTTATGAAGGTATTAGCTCATGCAAGTTTTTGTTTTCATATGCGCGATGACAGTCAACATCGCACTCGTGTATGACACCCTGACATGTCATGGCCGATTTGTAGACGGGGGCCGGAACGGCAATATGCCTTTACAATTGCGGCCGGCGTGCCTCTGTGCTCCTACTAGCATGTCGGAGCCATGTAGCCGGTGACATCTGTGTCTACGCCGTGCGCCATTCGACGCAGCAACGGTAATTGCGAGAAGTGGATGCGGTGCTTCCACAGTCCACACCCGGCCGAGTCCTGTCCGGTCTGCAGGGGTGGCCACTTACCGTACGTCAACTCAATTGTCTCTGCAACCCAAACATTCACTGGCCTCTTGGCCATTCTCTGGCAGTCTGCTATGCCGGTGAGTATCAAGGACCCTACGAGTTTCGACTTGCCTCTATTTTGTCGCTTCCTTCCTCATCCCCTCCCTTCTCTCCTCCTCCTCTCCCCCTCCCCTTTCCGTCCTCCCTGTCATGGTTCAGAACTGCTAAATGCATACAATCATTACAATGAGCATCATCAGGAGAACAGACAAAATATATGGTGCAGGAGTGCGGATAAGGTGGTGGGTGTGTGCGCATTCCATGCTAAAAGCACACGGATGTGGTGGACCTTGCACGTCCTCAGAATCAAACAATGAAACCACTGTTTCATCAAACATTACAATCACATAGATTCACATTTGAAATATCAGAGGTAACCCTTCTCAAGTCAATTAACCTGCAACTCCTTGCAGGTATTCCGATTACAAACCAGAGCAACAGCAACAGGAGATTATGAACTCAGCAAACATCTAACCGAAAATTATGAACAGCACAGAGACCCAGCCTTACAGCCTGTAAGCAAACTCAGCAGGCTGTAAGGCTGGGTCTCTGTGCTGTTCATAATTTTCGGGTAGATGTTTGCTGAGTTCATAATTTCCTGTTGCTGTTGCTCTGGTTTGTAATCGGAATACCTGCAAGGAGTTGCAGGTTAATTGACTTGAGAAGGGTTAATGTGCTATCAAAGGGACGCTGGACCCGGTTGCCAGCAGATACATTCCAGATAGATTCCTTCTGCATTCTCATTCCTAGGCGCCCTATGGACAGTGGGTGGATGGCAGGGATTAAGGGATGGACTCCGATGGAGGGAGATTTCACTGGTGCCCCCCAGTGCCCCCCTCCAATCCCCGACCCAGCTGCAGGATAGGTAAGGAAGTGATGATTTTGATATGGGACGCTGGACCCGGTTTCCAGCACAAGGGCGTCACTCTTTTCATTGAGCTATTTAAGATGTATCATGGGCGCTGGACCCGGTTTCCAGCACAGGTGATCCTCCCCACCAATAGATGCAGCGGCCCGCCAGGTGAAGCCTCAATCTTGGTGGTTCTCTTACCACCACCAGGATGGAGGTTTTGCACATGGGGCCTTAAAAAAAAAAAAAAAAAGATAACTTGACAACAGATTCTAAGGTAAGTCTGTTTCAATCTTGGATCCACTCGTCTGCGTGGAAAAGGCTTTGCTGTGGTGACAGTTAAAAAAATCAAAACACACAAACAAACAAATGCATCCTCGGTCAGACTGTCGGAGTTCAACAACCGGATGAGTCAGTCATCCGCCGAAACAGTCTGGCACAGTCATGCTATTTTTCTTTTTGTAGAGTTGTGTATAACGAACATGGCAATGCACAGCTAAGTTGGTACAACCACGAACTGTCAAAAATTCGAAATACAGACCCAAGAACTGGAACCCAAATGGTGAAATCAAAATCAAATGAGCTTAACGAGATTTCTGCTCTCGTCGAGCTCATCTTTTAGGACACCTGTGTCATCTGCTCTTTTTTTTTTTTAAAGGGCTACGGGCCTACGGCCCTTTCAATATCATCCTTCGAATTGACCGCTCTAGGTAATTCAGAATCGCAGTAATTTTGAAAGGGCTACGGGCCTATGGCCCTTTCAAAACATACCATGGGCATACTACGCATCAATCAGACCACAAAGAGTGAGAAGCCTACAATGGCTTATAATGTACCTAGCAGTCCCAGTAAACGCATGGCTAGACATAAGACGTAAAAAAGAAGATAGATCTATCACCTCCGCACACCGCAAAATGTGCACAGAAAACCTACCGGAAACCCTTACTCACTGCCTAATAGAATGCACACACGCACAAGCCTTATGGAACAGATGTTCGTTGATTTGGAGAAACATAATAGGAACCGAATTTCCAAAAGAAAAATTCTTCCTACTAACAGCGATAAACAGAGAAGAAGCAGCCGAAGAAGAGAACAGTCAGATACTAGAACTTTTCAGAAAAACCACAATATGGATCATATGGAGAGCAAGATGCATGGAAACCATAGGGAAGAAGAGGATATCGGAAAACGAATCATGGGAAGAAGCTAGAGAACTGATGGAAACAGAAATAAGAATAGAATGGCAGAAAACATTAAATAAGATGGATAAAGAGGACATAGACAGCAAGAAAAACATAATCCAGAAAGAATTCGAGGAGAGATGGTCAAGGAAGGGGTTAATCGCAACAGTTTCAGAAAAAGCAATACGATTCAGAAACTGGTGGAAACAAAACGACACACATCAAACAGTAGAAAATGAGCAAAGCACACCGATGGAACTAGAGGAGTAGAAAAAGAAAAAGTCTACTTTGAAGCGAAACTCAACCAAAAAACAAGTCAGTGAGAAGAGGAAAAGACAGAAACCCATTACAGACCCTAAATACCCACCCCCCCGGGCAATTCCCTTCCATCAATGTTCCCCCCCCACTTTACAACACATCCTTCTTGTTC